TTTGGATCTTCGTTCATCTTCCCTCTGAAAACACAACTATTTGGAATGGTTTGAAGAAAACTTTGCTTCAACTCGAAATTATTGGCTGCAATTGAAGGTGGTCTAACACTTGACAATCCTTGATTGTAGACTGGTCTGGCATAGTCACCCAATGCTCTACCAAGCCTTGGTACCACATTCTCGAACTGGTCTTCAATTAAGGGCCGATTTAGATTGAATCTTCGACCCCTATTGTCTTCGACAGTTTCCTCAGCAGCTCTATAGGCTGCCTCATCAGCAATCCTTGCAGCTGCCTCTACCTCATTGTCATCATTATTATCCATGTGTTCTTGGGTTGAAGTTTTCCCCAAGAACCTTACGGTAAACTCTTTCTCATTCCTCAATTGCTGCATGTGTTTTTTTAATTCCGGATTATAGGGTATTACTTCTTTACAAGAAGATCGTGTCATACACTACGGACTTAACCTGTTCCCCTACACACGGAGGGGAAACCTGTGAAGAATAAAATAAAAGTAAAAATAAATAAATTCCTGAATTAGCACTATAAACTATTTAAAACACTATTGATTGCCAATCCCAGGCAACGACACTAAAATTTGATGAGCGCAAAATACACACTTAAATGGTGCTCGCTAGTCAAAGATAGTATAGTACAATATCGTATCCACATGGATTGGATTTAAATAGTATTCTCATAGTTTGTAGCTTGATTGCTATCCAAGAGGATCAACAGTTGAGATTTATATGATTAATAATAAAATTTAACTAAGAATCTAAAGCTAATCGACTAATGACAATCGAAGCAAGGACTAACAAAGGAAGATATCAATGGGGGAAAATAGGATTTTGATAGGATAGGTGCAAGATAATTGTCTGAGATTTAACTCTAGATAATTCACTTCTAATTTTCATGTGAGTCTCTCAAATTCACTAACTTATCAGTATAATTGTTTAGTAGAAACTCATCTCTCGATTAAGTCTCAACCTCACAATATGAACCAATTTAAGCTTATTAAGATATGCAAGAATGCGTAGTAGATCGGTCCTTAGGAAAACCTCTTTCGATTATTCCCCTAACTAGATTTAATCAATGATTCAACTAACCTCTTTCTATTACTTAGAAGAATCTATGAATTCAATCAACAATATAGTGCAAAGATATCACAATTTATGACTCTTTCGATTACAAGAACAAGTGAATATAGATGCAACAATTAAATCTTCCAAAAATTATTCAAATATGTAAAAATAGAGTTATAATCCACAAACAATCATCAATACACCAAATCCATCAAAACCCAAAAGGAACTACTCCATAGACATGAAGAAGTTCTTCACAAATATAACTGAAGTATTGGAAAACATAAATTCAATCCAAACCCGGATCTTAAGAAAGGAAGGAATGATGAAATCCCTGTGCTTGTGTTCTTCCCAAGCCTCCTAAGGTCCAGGAATTTGTCAAAACATCCTTCTAAAATGGTGTTTTGGTGTATTTAAGCCGCCCCCAAATCAAAGCTCGGACGAAACTACCCTTTTTACGTGAAATAGGACAATTCTGGGATTAGACGTGCGCGGTCGCACACCTGGAAGTGTGCTCGTGCATATGGCCGCGGATTTTGCATAGTATTCTACCTCACATGTGCGTTGACGTCCGGCTCGATTCTTCGTTTCTCTCTTTGAATGCACTAGTGTCCGTTGATCCCTGAACTCAATCTCAACTTAATCCTTGGGCTTTTACTCAGACTTCAAAGCTCCAAAATAGCGTAAATTCATTCCATAACATCTACATAGCTCGGAATCACTCCTACAAGGCATAAAATATATAATTAGTGCAAAACACTAACGATTAAAGCTCAAACTTAATTAAAGTGCAGTAAATTAGACTGCGATAAGCAACTAAAACACACAATTATAGCCTACCATCAGAACCATGGCGCGAGAACCTTGCTGGGGCACACTACTCTGTAGTCTAGGATAGTAACTCCTCATATGACACATAGCTCCACACTCAAAGCACTATGTCGGTTGTTGTGGCTACTGAAGCTGAGACAGATCCTGACGGCCTGGATAACCACTATGATAGCGCTGAATCGGTGGTGCACTGATGGGAGTTGAAGGTGCACTGTAGGCTAGCTGCTTAGGACGAGACCCATAAGAACTACGACTACCCGAGGCACTGTAGGATGCCTGGAGTGCTGACTGAACTAGCCTGATAGGATGGCCTCTACCAAAAGAACCCCGACCTCCAGATGAGGTAGCGTTGAACCACCGAAATGATGAGGTCTCTTCAAAGATACCGCCTCCCTACCCTGGCCACGAATCATATCGATCCGTCTAGCAACCTCTATCACCCGCTGGAAAGAAATATCATCCCCAGTCTCCTTAGCCATCTGTAGCCTGATACAATAAGTAAGGCCATAAATGAATCTCCCCACCCTCTCCCTCTCAGTAGGGAGGAAGACAACTGCATGGCAAGATAAATCTATGAATTGGGTCTCGTACTGGGTAGCAGTCATGTTACCCTGTTGGAGGCGCTCAATCTACCTGCGATACTCCTCTATCAGAGTTAAAGAAATAAACTTCTCCAAAATAATTGTAAAAACTGATCCCAAGTGAGTGGAGGTGAACCTGCTAGTCTGGCTCGATCCTAATCCTGCCACCATCTTTTGTCAGAGTCGTGCATCTGAAATACCGCGAAATCAACTCCATTAGACTTCACTATATCTATGTTGCGCAACACCTCGTGGCAACGGTCAATGAAATCATGTAGGTCCTCATAAGGTGTTCCACCAAAGCGAAAAGAAAATAACTTTGTGAACTCGTCCAATATCTTTAACCACTCATAAGACATTGCGGCCCTCTCTATGGGCTGAGTAGCAATAGTGGGCTGAACTACTCCAATTGCTGGAACCACAATAGTCTGATATATGGGAGCCATCTGCTCCGAAATATGAGTAGCCGGATCTGGGCTCCTCCCCCAGCCCGAGAGATAGTTGCTGCCATAGGAAATGCTCCGGCCTGCGACACACTCTCTATAAGGCCCATTAAGCGGACTAGGGCGTCCCGAAGTACAAGAGTAGTAATGAATCCCTTCGGGACCTGAGCGGGTCCTACTGGTGTGGTTTGAACCGGGATCTCCTCTCCATGCTCAATTTGAGGCTCTACAACGTGTGTTGTTGCACATGCTCTAGGTTGCGCTCTGCCTCTACCTCGACCCCTATCTCTGGTAGTGGCTGCAACGTGGGGCTCCGGCTCCAGCCTGGCAGTGGATGTTGTGCATGTCATCACCATTTCCGAGAGAGCAAGAATAGAATTTGCACGATAGAGAAAGAAAGAAGTGAAATTTTTTCTAAAGCTCTATAGCCTCTAGAAGATAACTACAGACTTCTCTTTTACCCAGCTGCATGTGTTGTAATTGTGAATTCTTGTTCGCAACTGCGAGCATCGCAATTCCAAAACAGAGGTCGCAAATGAGAACTATGCCCGCAACCTGGATAAGTTGCAAATGCGACAAAAACATCGCATTTGTGATGCCCCATTCAACTGCAAATGTAATCAAAGGTTTGCATTTGCGAACGTGCCTAAGTCTAGTGTCTAGTCGCAAATGCGACCAAGCCATTGCAAAAGCAAAGGCTGGGATGTCCGCAAATGCGAGAATTTCTTCGCAAATGCGAAGTCTACCCTGCCTAGTCCCTCATCACAAATGCGAGCTCAATTTCGCAAAAACGGAGTTCACATTTACGAACAGGTCATTGCAAATGCGAGACCTGCATTTCAACACAAGAACTGAAGCATACCAATAATTGCCAAATTACCCAAACTCATCTGAAACTCACCCGAGCCCCTTGGGCTCCAAACCAAACATGCATCACAAGTGTAATAACATCATATAAACTTGCTCGCCACCTCAAATCATCAAAATAACATCAAATAACAAGAATTGATCATCAAAACTCAAGATTTTAACTTGTAAACTCATTTTTCACAATCTTTCACAAAATGCGCCAAAACTCGCTCGAGTCACCCTAGATCCCAACCAAATATGCGTATAAGTCCAAAAATATCATATGAACCTACCAGAATCGTCAAATCACTGATTGAGATCGTTTACCAAGAATATTGACTGTGGTCAACTCAACTTGTTCTTAAAATCAAAAATCACATTTTCTTTAAAATTTCCAGTAAGAACTTTCCAAAAAACAACACAGGCCACACGCGCAAGTCGTATAACATATAAGGAAGCTAAAAGAAGTTTCGAAACATAAAAATAGGGGCTAATACTCAAAACGATCTATCGTGTCGTCACATTTTAGTCCAATTATTACTAATTTACTATCAAGTGCACACCGATTCAATAATTTATAGAATTAGGCACAAAAATAGAATAATTCCGCACTTTCCCGTTAAAATTATTTTAAAAGACAAGAAAGAAAACTAGATAATGCTCTCTATTTGTAAAAGTGATTGGTAAAAAAGCAAGAAATATGTAGATTGATTACATGCTACTTAATAGGCTTTTTATTCATTAATCATTGATAGTTTTATGATTGTCCTTCTCCCAATCATCAGCAATATTGTCAACAGCTGGTCTCCACCAGCCTAAACAAATTGCATTAAAATATGGGAAAAGTTTTAACACCTGGCAGTATATCCTACACTTCTTTACGATCCATATACGCAATTGTCACGAGAAAAGAGCTTGTTAAATCGGAGTGGACTAGGAATATATGATATATCCGCTCCCTAGCTTTTGAATTTTTTATTCTCCACTCTAACATTGAAATTTTAATATGTGAACAAAAACAATTAGAGGCATTTACATAGTCTTTTTATGCAATTATTATAAATTCTATTTTCGTTAAATTTGTGAATTAAATTTACCTATAAAAAGGAAAAAGAATTTATAGAAATAGTAATGAGGTGATCGGCAAGGCTTTGTAGGAATATCTTAGATAGCTGAAAAAGACAAGCGATTTCAAATATAGAAATGGGAAAAAGCCAGCAGCCACATCTATAAAAAGCAGCTATCAAATGAGTGGAATGTAGCAAAATTTCAGGATAAGTATAAGTAGCATAGCGAGAGAGAATTTTACAGCAAATGATGGAGGTTCTTAGCTCAAGCCAGCCGTCACTCAGGTTAGCTCACACTCTGAAAACGTCGAATTAGCTTTTTCTCTTCACTTAAACAATCTCTATAATAACTTGTAAAAGTTCATCTATATTACTACTAAACAAATTTACTTAGCGTACAGTTGATCTGACGAATTTTTAAAAAAGGCTATATGGAGAAATTGTTTCTCATATAAATATTTTTTTATTTTCTATCCGGTGTCCGATACCTGTTAGTTTACTAAGTCAGATTCTTATCCTATAAGGTAGAAACATTCCCTACCAAAATATTTTTTAAACCCGAGACTTCTGATATAAAGGTGGAGGGATCTTATCCACTAATCTCACCACAAACTTTGGAAGTTCAACCACATATACTTATAAACTGCTATGTTATCGGTGTTTGTAGATGCTGCGGAACAGAGGAGGAGGGGAAAGTAGAGTGCAAGTGCGTAGAAGGATGGTCTTGCTCTGTTACTAAAACAGATAGTTCCAAAGCTGGCAAGCCCTTCTGTATTTGTTCCACGTCCGACACCACCTGTATCTGTGTGTAAGTGCCCACTATTTCCAATGTTTTTTCTGCTTCTTAAGAAATAGCTATGAGAGTATTTGTGGAGGAGAGGATGAACGGAAGTACCCAAACTTGTCTCTAATATCATGTTAATTTTTGTGATCACATCATCTAAAGATTAAGCTGAGAACACAAGGTTAATTGTTTCGTAAAGTAACAATATTGTTTTTTACGCATTAAAATAATTAAACTTTACACATTATATCAATTCAATTTCTAAACTTTTCTTAATATAATAGTAATTTTATTTTTCAACACATTAAAGTGACTCAATTTTACTTATTTCCCACTATAGCGATTAAATATAGCCATCAAAGTAATTTTAGTGATATAATTGGAACAGTGTATTCTTGTTACTGTTATAGTGGGCGATTTAAAATGACAAAAGTGGTATTGTGACTTTATTTCTCATAGTGAGTAAAGTATATATACGTAGTTTTTAATTTAATGTGACAAAAGCTAATTTATGCTTACACATTCCTGTGTTATACTCTCTTTTTTATATGTACTAAAACAAATGTCATATTTTTTTATTTATAAATAATTTAACTTTAAAATTTATACTTTACCCTTAATGAGATATTGACAACCACACAAGTATTTATGGCTTGTTTTGAACTATAAGTTTCAAAGTTATTTTTTACTTTCTTAAATTTTGTGTCGGATCAAATACTGTCACATTGGGAGTAGAGAATATCAGTGCCTTATAAGAAGAAATTAAATTCTCTGATAAAGGATCTGATGTTTGCACATATGTTGAAGGGATGAATCTGAGAGCACGTTAGCAGAGGTAAAGAAAGCTTTAGAGGGCTCACTTGGTTGCAAAGTAGTCTGCAAGACTGACGCAGGATATACTTGTAAAATCACCAATGCTGGGAAAGTCATAGCTGAATGTGGAGAAGGTTGCATCTGCATCGTTGATGAAACAGGCAGTATTAAATGCATAACCAAAGCAGCAGAGACCTCCTGCTGCACCTCTTCCTCTTGTAACTAAAATATATAAGACACTGTTTATTCATAAACAAATAAGACCAGCAGCTAGCTTGCTTGCATGGATGATGCTGGATTAATGGTGCCTGATTGAGAAAATACTGCTTATCTCGAATCATGTGATCATTTGTGTATCTCCAGTTTGGTTTATTAAATGAAGTTCTGTTTGTTTAAAACTCATCTGAATGAGGGTGTGTTTGGTACGAACGAAAATATTTTTATTTTATTTTTTATGTTTGGTTCAAAGGGCGGTTACTGTCACGACCCAAAATCTAACTAGTCGTGATGATACTTAACCTAACCTATTATAAGCTAAATAATAGTAAACACAATTTAATAATAAAATTAAGAGCCAAAAGTGAAATAACTGAATCATTATACAGCTTCCCAATAACTGATAGTACAAGTCATGCGCCATTAAAACTTAGATTTACAAACTGAATTGAAATATGATACAACATCTGTTTGAAATATACATGAACATAATCTCAAATCTAGAACTACCAAGAACTAGTGGTAGCGAAATCTATAACGCGGGTACATCTTCAATGCCAGCTCCTACCATTCACAGCAACATCAGTTCCAAGATCTGCATGCAAGATGCAAAAGCATAGTATGAGTACAACCGACAACATGTACTCAATAAGTAACCTAACTAACTTCGGCAAGGTAATAGAAGCAAGAATCACAAATGATACTCGTTATCACCTGTACAGTTCATAATTTTAACAAGTATAGAACAGATATATGATCAAATCAGAAAATCTCAGGTAAACCCACCTTGGTGCTCACAATTCTTTGTTTGAAAGTGTTATGCTCAGGCAAAAATCCAGCATATAAGGATGATATGCAAGTAAATCAGGTAAGTAGTCAAGGAAATTGCAAGTAAAGATGAAATGCAATAACCACATATCAGTCCGTTGCGGGGCACAACCGATCCAAATAACAATAAGCCAATAAGTCCTGTCCCGACGTGCATCCCGATCCAAATAATAGTAACCGGCTCTCCCAGAGCGCACATCAACCAGAAACTTGTCGGTTTCTCACAATCCGCGTGTACACCGTCAAGAGAGAAACATGAGAGGGTGACCCTTGGGGGATGAATCCGTATCCACACGCTGCACGGATAACTCACGTATTGCACGGACAACTCACGTGTTGCACGGACAACTCACGTTCTGCACGGACAACTTACGTGCTATAATATCAATATCTGGATCTGCACGGATAACTCACGTGCTGCACGGACAACTCATGTTCTGCACAGAAAACTTACGTACTATAATATCAATATTTGGATCCGCACGAATAACTCACGTGTTGCACGGACAACTCACGTACTAATAATATCAATCCGCATATACAACTCACGTGCAAATATCACAATCCGTCCGGCGTGGTCATAGGCACAATACATTAATCCGGTCGACGTGGTCACAAGCATAACAACACAATCCGTCCAGCGTGGTCACAAGCATAACACAATCCGCCCGGTGTGGTCACATACATAATAACACAATTCGCCCAGTGTGATCACGCGCATCCAGTCCAAATCATATCACACACAAGCAAGTATACAAGAACACATTATATGATGAATAAATATAAGATTTCATGTTCTTGAACTGTCATAATAATATGCTTAAGTGTAGGCATGTGCAAAGTGTGCTATCATAGCTCAAATCTGAAATTGTCACAGAATTAACAATTACCAAGTTTATTTAGGGAATTAGCCTTTTCGTAACCTCAAACATGGGTCTGATAGTTCACAACAATGTTACAAATATGAGAAACATCATACCTTACAACTTAACAGTCAATTCTAGGCATATCATAGCACAAGTACTACCCCGGGCATGGATAAATACCCCGGTACTCGTACATGGGCTCAAACCCCACACATATGTACACCCATAATACATAGCTATCACAAATAATTCAGGTAACTAGTGCCTCAACCAAGTTTAGATAAGATATTTACCTCAAACATGCCATAACAAATACTGAGCAAGCCAAACAACACTTTAGAAATGCCACTCCGCGTGAATCAACCTCCGAAAGGCTCGAGACTATCCAAAAGCAACTCAAATACATCAAATAATGTCAAAGGAAACAAACTCAAACAATAAAGGTCGAATCTTTACTCAATTACTCAAAGTCAACCAAAATGTCAAACCTGGACCCGTACCTAGGAAACCGACAAAACTCAAAAAAACTTACAACTCATTCAATTATGAGTCCAACCATACTAATTTCACCAAATTCGACTCTGAATTGATGTTCAAAACTCAAAAATTCACTTTAGGAATGTTTAGACAAAAAATATGCAATTTCTCTTTGAAATTCATAATCGAAATGCCAAAATCGAGATAAAATTTTGAAAGTTAATCAAAACCGAGTAGAAATCGTTTACCCCAATCCATGTGGTGAAAATCGCCTCAAAATGCACCCAAATTCGAGATCCATAGCTCAAAATATGATAAAATGACCAAGACCTTCGAAATAGAGTACTTTATACACTGCTCCAAAGGTACCCTTTGCGATCGCGGTCACCAACCTCGCGATCGCGATTCCAAAATTTTCGAGCATTGTTTTTACCCTATGCAATCGAGGCCATTTCCCCACGATCGCGATGAACAAATTTCCATTAACCCTTCCCAAACTCTTCGTAGACAGCCTGTAGTATATCAGCTCTAACTTTTTGTACAAAACTTTAAATGATAAACGGTTTGGTTTTTTGAAAACTAGACACAAAGGAATACAATTAGATAAATAACCCCCTAAAAGTCCACAATAACCTAACCATAACACACACTACTAGTTGTCTAACTTTTTCTATACCTTCACAATTCACAACTAAGAAACAATCTGCCTCTGAGAACTCCCCGTCTCCAAATCACAAGAATACAAAAAAATAACCAGATCTGATCCCATCTCCACTACTCAAATAGCTGACGCATCCTTCATACATAATCATTACACGAGAAATACTTCCATAATTCTTCCGTGGAACATAGCAAAATCCGAACATCAACAGTCGATTAAGTAGGCGAGTACCGCAATACCAATGAAGCGTACGTAAGACAAAACTCAAGGCGCCTTCTGAAATGCGCAGTTTTCTCAGGTGATACCAGATAGTGCCAGCATTATTCTAAATATCTGAAATTGTCAATGCCGTCTAGAACTCATGAACTTCCTTTTTAAATTGAACCGTATACTTGCACATGCAAATCTCAATCTCACATGATGCACCACCTCTATCAGGCCATCATATGAAAACACGAGAACTTTATTATCAACTCTGAGTCGCAAGCATAATACATACTCAATTAGATAGAAACCTTCAACTCGATCCCATTCAGGAGAAAACCATAAGCATAACAAACTATCCATGTCTGTAAAAAAAAAATGCCCATTCCAAGCTGTGGTAGAAATCATCAAGAGCTCTACGAATCCCATTTGCACATAACCAAGACATCAGAACTGAATTTCTCTAACTCAACCAAGTCACGCAGGTCGCCAAACCCCAAGAGTATTGATCCACGCCCAATGGCCTAGGGATGTAACCTTCACCTAGGTGTTAGCCTAATGGGTTAATTACGTTAACGCTTATTTTAGTGATCGGGGTGTATTATAGGTCTCAACTCTAAGTTGCCCACTCAATACATTTTGGTCATAGCGTGATTTTGCCCAATTTGGCTTTCTCAAGAGCAATTTGGGTATCAAGTTAAATAGTTGGTATGAACTTAAGTCGGGTTTTCCCTATCGCTAATTCAAACCCTTTAATTAGGCTAGCCAAAATCGTAACTGGCCTAATTTTTTGTTAGTCAAGTTTTTCGAGACTAGGTCCCTTCTTTATCAAGTAAGAACCAAGTCAAAAAGGCATGAATCAATATTTGCAACCATTAATTCTAAAAATATAGCACGAACAAGGCTAAATAACAAATATCCAATCACAAACAAACATTATATTAATAACCATAAGGTTTACATACTAGGTTTGGATTACAACCCTAGAAAATATCTAGCTACTCATAATAGAAATGGAAGAAAATAAAAAAGAAACATTAATTAACGCCATAATACAAAACTAAAATGATAATCCAATGTGTTTTTAACCCAAATTGGTCACAAATTACTAAAAGTGGTAAACTATAACAACTACAGCTCAAAAACTACCAAACTTGCACTAAACAAGCGATTCCCGTCTATTTATAGTGGCCCAAATTCGCTGACAAAAATGCCCTTCGGGAGGTTCGGTGGGCTCACAATTCCATGTGTGGTCCGCTGTTTACTTGGTTCTGCAGGTTGAGGGATTCTACATCTGCACAATTTGGTCTACGACTGCATTTAAGCTCCTGCGGCTGCAAGTTTCCTTCTGCGGCTGCTCTTTTGGCAAGGCTTCACTCTTGGTCGTTTTGCACACTCTCTGAACTTTTTGAATTCTTGTCAGTGCGAATCATGTTTTGCGGACGCACAATTTTTGTGCGTTATGCACTCTTCTTCAATCATCATCTGAGCTTCAACACCATATCTATGGTCGTATAGAGAATTCTTTGGTCCACGCTTTCTTATGCGGTCGCAGAATTACTTCCGCGGACTGCACTTTTGGCCTGCTGTGCTCTTTTTTCCCTTATGAGCCGGAATACTCCTTTTTGAGTTTGATTTATTCATTAAAGTCCAATTCTCCAATATTCCTGTAATTTGCACAATTTTATTAGTTTTGGAAACAGAAATCAACACTTTCAGACTAAAACTAAAGCAAGAAGGTACTAATAAGTGGTTAAAATCCACACTTATCAACTCCCCCAAACTTAAGTCTTTGCTTATCCTCAAGCAAATAGATTAGTTCCCACCTCATCAGAGTGAAAGGTAATTTCATAGATTCAATGATAAGCCATTCTTACTTAGTTGGGACCAACAATTACCCCCAATATTCATGCCTTTTCAACAAGGTAACTAATCACATATTATGCACATATAGTTCTAATGTGATATTTGAGCTTCAAGAATTGACTTTATTCATCAAGGACTCTTGTTCTATCATGTAGATCACAGTGGAATCCAAACTCTTCCTCCTCTACCTTCCATTTTCCAAGCTCACTTCAAATGTTAGCACTCAATTTTTAGATCAATGAAAGGTTCACTCTTCTCTCACAAAAGAATGTCACAAGTAAGGC